TCCTAAAATGTTAAAAAAGACACAATTTGATCCATTCCTTTGGAAAATTGATGACATCATCCAATAAAGTTATTAAGCAACTATTCATATCTCTTTGAGTAACATACACTAAAATTATTTTCGACTATACAGAGTGTTTTGTTTTGTTTTCGAGGCATGGCACACAAGTATTTTTTATAGAATGGCGTATATATTTTTACATATTTTTATTAGTCTCTTCCTTCGCTTTATAACCATAGTTTATTTTTGAAATATCGATGCAACCTTGCCACGTTAGTTCAATGTTTTTGAATATTTACTTCCTGATTGTAATCGAGTTCATCTGGCTACTTTTATGTTTTCTCGATGTTTCAAGATTCCTAGACTGCGAAAAAATATGTCTTCCGTTTCCGTTTCTCTCTCTGTGTCTGCCGTCTGTCCGTATCGAATATCGTGCACATGATAAAAAAAACATCCAAAATTTAGCTAATTCTCCCCACCAATAATAGGATGACGACACGAAAATTTGCGTTAATAAATATTATTCCAATACTTTAGACATCCAGATTTCTGGAAAAATTAGTTTTACAATTTAACTTTAAAATTGCCAAAAGCTCTAAAATATTGCAAATGTTTTAAGGTTATAGGAAACATGATAAATCATTAATTAAAATTTATTCGTTTATGGCCTCCAAAATAATTATTACGTCATCTTACTATTCTGCTGAATAAAGAAGATATCAATTAAATACATTTCTTCATATACAGATGTTTATAAAAAAATTAAACCCTACAATTTTTGATATATCGATATTTCAGTTATAAATGTATTTTATCACTGCATCTTGCTTTTTTTTTGTTCCCTTTCTTTCAATATGTTGGCCTATCTATTAAAAAAGTAAAAAAATGGAATCTAGAATCAACATGAGATTCAGTAATAAAATATAGGGTGTTCGAATTGAAAAAACTGAAATACTGACATTTGAAAATTGTTATAATTAATTTTTTTGTAAACACTCTGTATACTGAAACCGAATTTTATTTATATTATTTTCCCACAAAATATTGTAACCTAGATTCAAAAAAACCGTATCGCGATTTTTTTGTGAACCCTTCCATCGCTGAAATGTATAAAAATATATAGTTACTTTAAAAAACTAAATTGTGTGTTGAACATTAAAACAGAGCACTCTGTATATTTGAAAATAATTTTAGTCTATGGTTCTCAAAGAACTTCAATCTTAAACTTGTTTCCATATCTAATAATAACCCCTGTAATTTTTTGTATATTAAAGATAAAACTGATATTGGCAAATGACATATCCTGTAAGAAAAAAGAGGGTGGGTGGTCGGGGCTAGTACCTGCTAAGATATGACTGCTTTTGGCAAAAGAGATACTCTCTAAGAAAAGAGAGGGCTGGTGGGCGGAACTAGTCCCTGCTAAGATAACACTGATTTTGGCAAATGAAATAGTCTCTAAGAAAAGAAGGGCGGGTGGGCGGGGCTAGTACCTGCTAAGATAAGACTGATTTTAGCAAATGACGTATCCTCTTAAGAAATTTAGATACATTATTGTAAGAAAAGACACTAGAGGCTTCAAAGCACTTTGAAATTGTTTCCAAACAGGAATACCTAAATAGAACCTGAAGATTGTTTTTTCCCAAAAAAAAAACAGGGTCGCAAAATTAACTCAAAAATAGGTCAGGTCAGAATTTTCCAAAAATAGAACACCAAAGTCCCCCAAAATTCTTTTAAATAATTTACAAAAAAAATCTCCACAGGATCCCAAAATAATAAACTATGGGTACCCAAATGCTGCGGCGCTCAAGAGTTTTTTGAATTCGTATATATATAGTTCTTTGAGCAAATTTGTAGATTGTCATCAATAAATATGAATTTTTCGTCTATTTTATTGAAAAACTTTTCAAGTATGATTTTAGAATATTGGTTGCTTTTTATATTTTATAAAAAATCAGTCTTTTATGAAAAATACCTAGTGTTCCATAAAAAAAAAAGTTGACATCATTTCCGGTTCTACAGGAAGTGATAATAAAAATGTGAGGTGCCATCACATTGCTCTTCTATTATGATACAAATTTGCTTAAAGAACTACAGGTGTATATTTAAGAATAAAAAAGTTGCAGGGGTTGAATCAAATAAAACGCCCTGTATATAGTTTCAAAAATGTAAGTTCAAAATTTTTGCATGAATTTAAATATTTTCGTAATGGTAAATCTGGATATTATATTCGTCAAAATGTAAATAAAATCCCTTTGAAATGAAATTTAAAATTCTGAAATTTGCGATATTAAAATGTTCAGTGATTCCACCAATTCAAAGTTCGCAGAATTCCAGAATTTTATTGGAACATAAAAATTTAATTTTACAAATTTCGGATACTAATAACTAAATTTAAAACTTTATAATCTCACACCTTTGAAAATTTAATAAATTTATATAAGTACTAATTTTGAAAAATGTTTTTTTTGGAATATCTGTTAATATTATATTTTAAAATAATTTTAAAGTTTTTAGATTTTTTGAAATATTAAATGATTTCAAATTTAATGAATATCTTAAATTATGTTATATTATAGGAAGGTTAGAAAGCTCGTTCTTTTATTTAATCTATTTACTCTATTGTAAACTTTTCAGAATTCTTCCATTGTCAAAAAATGTCAAAAAATGTGGAATAACGTGGCAACGCCGTACTGGAATTTCAAAAGTAAACTGTGGTTGTAAAGTCTAAGAAGTCAATCAAAATGTTAAAAATATATAGGGTGTTTCATTTAAACAAACTATGTTGTGTGGTACGCCTTAAAAATAGAACATCCTGCACAGCTAAAAATAATTTTAGAGTGTAGTCCTCAAAGAACCGTATAATTTTGGTATTTGACTTTTTTGTATTTGTAAGACTGCCCGCTTAGTGACTCACTCTGTATATATATACAGGATGAATCTGTCAGTAAACGCGAGTTTCTCGATATCTTATCAATTATCAATTATTATTAATTATTAGAAATGATAGGGTCCAGGACTAAATTTTACTGTGTTTTGAGTAAAATACATCAAAATTATATCCACATACAACTCATTTTTTTTTTAAAGAACACTATATTTTTTGATATCCTAATTTACTTCTTTTTTTAGGATTCATAAATACATTTTATTTTTTAAATTCCTATGCAACGTTGCCACGTTCTTCCAAGTATCTTATTTTCTTTAACAAAACAAATTTTCACAAAAAATGGCAGTAGGGTAGTTTTTAACATGTGCGATGCAATATTTTATGAACATATAAACAAATACCTGTTGTTGTGGTACCACTAAAGAGTATACAGAGTGTTTTTAAATTCTATAAAAATGAAAAATGGTAGAAACTCTCATCTATATATACATATATAGAAAATACTAAACAAAAAACTACCGACCCTGTATATGCTGGGAGGAGAAAATAACCTATATGCTCAACGGTACGTTGTTAAGAAGGCTCTACAGAACTCAAAAAAAAAAATTATTAACTAATTTCTGAACCAAATTAATTAATAAATTCTTGAAAATATTAAGCTTCAAAATTGAAGAATTAACTAGGTAATTTTGATGGTTTAATTTGATTTTAATTGAACATTTTGAAAAATGACATGTATCAATAGTAAAAAATGATATCTGTCAGTAGTAAAAAATTACGTTGTAAATCGTATTGTAGTAAATTATTATTATCAAATAATTAATAACTAATTGTTTAACGGCAGTTAAATAAAATAAATCAAAATTACGAAGTTAATTGATGTTCAATATTTTCAAAAATTTGTGTATTATCAATTAGTGAAGAACAGAAATCTTAAAAATTGTTAGGTCGCGTAAGCAAGACCATGAATATCTGAATTCTCCTATAAAAGTTTTTGGACGAAAATATTTCCAAAAATTTCAAAACCAAATTTGGTAGAATGTAAATCGCTGAAACTGATAGCTTCAGGTTTTCCGACAACTCCTTCTCAATAAATAATGAATAAGAGTACGATTTAATTAAAATTAGAAATCTCTGTAGTGTTAAGAGTTTTAAAAATGTTGAAGTTTTAAAGAAATATTTTTATTGAAGATGATTATGTCAAACAATTATTTAATAATATGAAAGCATAAATTATTCGAGACACAAAAATTATGTTCATAATATAAAATACAAACATTTATTTAAGTGAAGGCAAAACAAGGAATTTTTAACATAATCAAAATAATTTCCACTTTAAAAACATAATAAATATAGTTCTTGAATTATTATGGGAATGTTATGAAGCCTCTGAAAGTTGTTTATTTTAACAACTTAAATAATTTAAATTTATTGAGCTGAGCTGCACTAATTTCAAAGAAGATCGAAAAGTCAATTTAAATTCTATCAGTTCTATATTATTATTATTATAATTTAAAATTACTGGAAAGAGCAGGAAAATATAATTTAAGAATATTTTAAAATTTCTGTAAAAATTTTAAATATACAATACTTCGTCTCTTAAACAGTAATTTTGAAGAGATTAAAAAGCGAAAATTTAGGACACCTATTTTTAAATATTAAAATTATAGTGGCATAACATTAAGTCTCACATTTTAAAAGTTGAGACAAAAGCTTGAATTTTTTTGAACGTTTAAATAATTCTTAATTTTGAAAACAATAAAAATAATTCCTGAAAAATTGTGGGAATGTTTAAGAGCTTTGGGAGCTTTTAATAACCTAAATAATCCAGATTCTGTCTACCTGTAGCAACTTTTCACGTGCACGAGACAGGCGTTCAATTTTAAGAATTTCCACAATTAAATAGTTAGAAAGCTAAAATATCTTTGAAAGAAAATTAAAATTGACTTGACTTGATACAAAAAAAGTAAAGTTTGAGGTGTTTCGAAACTGCAACTTGAAAACTTCTCGTATCTCTAAACTTCCCAGTACATATTTAAGTATAAAATTAGCCCCAAGTCATCGCTTTAACAACCAACTTTCGCTTCCGCACATAAAAAACACCAAAACTTACCACCTCTCACCGGCCTCTATTCAAAAAAACAAAGCAAAAAGTAAGCAAGCTTTCCCAGCGCGCGCCTCGCTTCCAATTTTTCAGGACTTTTCAGCGAACATGTCGATAATGAATGCCTCATAATATCCGAGCTTAATCAGAAAGCCGCGCGTACTACACTGAAATTTACGGAAAGCTTATGAATTGGAGATAAAAGTTGGGCGGCGAAAGCTCACGAGCCGGAACGAGCGAGCGTCGCCGTGTGCGCTGGAAAAAGAAAAAACCCGAAAGAATATCGCGGATTGTTGAGTGTTCCCCTTTACGTTTCTTGCGTAAATATTTACACAGTTGCCGATTTGATTGATCCAGTTACAGCTTATTTGGTTTCAGGTATGATTTAAAGTCTGAAACTGAAAATGTTTGTGCAGTGTCAGGGCCTCGAATTATCCCGAGATTAAAATTCGTAACTAGTTCAGCGGGATTAATTGTTTTGGCTGCGGCTTCGGCGGCAAAAATTATTTTGACACTGGTGCGCACCGTAAACCTTTAGATTAAATAAACAGTGACGGGATGGATAAATGTTTGGAGATTAATGCCCGAGGACCACACGGAACTGTGCGAAGGATCAGTGGCACATAAATAAATGGACGACGAGGAGTTCATTCAGTGCTAATCGGTGGTTGGAAATTCAGCTATCTTAAAAATGAAAGAGTTTTTATTATTCCGCAAAAATGGTCTGCTGAAATCCAAAAAGTAGTTGCTACAAGTAATGTTGTATTAGTAACTTTTTTTTAATATTAAACCTGGTATACACGCACACATTTTGTTCCAAATTCCTTGGAATCTTGTTAGTTACTTTCCTCTATCCCACGCAAACTAGAAAGGAATTTCATTATAAAAAATATTTTACAAGTTTCTTAAAACATGCTGCAGGGCTACAACACAAAACGCTAAAAACCCCTACTAAAAGGTTTGCACAGATTTTTTATTTAAGTAATCTTGAAATGAATGCGTTCACAAAAAAATATTATATTTGAGTAATGGTATCACAGTTTTTTACTCCCCAAGCGTAATAGTTTCAAATGTTACAAATCTAAGAATCTGAACTCATGAGAAACTGTTCAGAACATCTTTATACTTGGAAAGGAAACTTAAATAAATGAGACTGTGGTGAAAACTTTGGATATATTTTTTGCTTTGATGCCTCAGTTTCTCGATTTGCGGTTTTTCAGATTCTCATTCTTATCTCTTCGAGTTTTTATTTTAGCTTCTTGATTTTCCAACTTTTGGATGTTTCAATTTTTAGATTTCCAGTTTTTTCATTTTTCAATTTTTCATGTCTTCATTTCTACGATTTGCAATTTTACGGTTTTCAATGTTCTGATTTTATATTTTTTCTTTCTTCAATGTGGAATTTTCAACTTTAATATTTTCCAATTTTTCGATTTGCAATTTGTCGGTTTTCAATGTTCTGATTTTTCATTTTTGGATTTTCCAATTTTTCGAATTTGAATTTTCCGATTTTTTAACATATAGATATTTTAATTTTTGGTTTTTTCAATTTTAGATTTTTCAGTTTCATGAGTTTTCAATTGTTCTTGTTTTATAATAATTGTTCAAGTTTTCGTTTGAAATATAAATTTTAATTATAATTTAAAAAAATCACCCTTTTAATTTTATAGTATTACAGTTTTTCCATTTTTCAAGTATTGAATTTTGAAACATTTTTATTTCTTCGACTTTTCAATTTTCCGATTTTTAATTGTTCACTTTTTCGATTCTTCAATTTTTCAGTTCTTCAAATTTTCGATTTGCAATTTTTCAATTTCTCATTTTTTTGGTTATTCAATATTTCAACATGTTTAAATTTTCAGTTTTTCTATTTTCCAAATTTTGTATGTTTCAGATTTTATATTTTGCAATTTCACGAGTTTTCAATTTTTTGATTTTTCAGTTTTTCAATTTTTGTTTTTGTAATTTCTCCTTTGGGTTATTTTATTTTTTATTTTTTCAATTCTTGGGTTTTTCAGTGTTTTGATTTTATAATTTTTCTTTTTTCAATGTGGAACTTTTCAATTTGTGGATATTCCAATTTTTCGCTTTGAATTTTTCTAGTTTTCGTTTTAATTATAATTTTTAATGATAACTTAAAACAACAATTTCGAGTTTTAATTTTTCAATTTTCCGATTTACAATTTTTCGTTTCGAATTTTTATTTCCTTAGTTTCTCATTTTTCCGTTTTTTCAATTTTTCGATTTGCAATTTTCAGTTTCTCATTTTTTTTGTTACTCAATTTTAGGGGATGCTCTGATTACATTTTTTTTTCAATGTAAAATTTTTAATATATTGGATTTTTTTATTTTTCAATTTGCAAATTTACTGTTTTCAAAAACTGGATTTTTTAACTTCATTTCTTTTTTTTCAATTTTAAATTCTTCAGCTTTTCGATTTTTCAATTTTCCATGCCGTCAATCCTGCGATTTGCAATTTTTCGGTTAGCAATTTTTCCGTTTTCACTTTTCCGATTTTTCAACCTAAAGGTTTTTTAATTTTCGTTTTTTTTACTTTTAGATTTTTCAGTTTCATGACTTTTCAATTTTTGTGTTGCAATTTTTCTAGTTTTCATTTTAGATATAATTTTTAATTATAATTTGAAAAAAATCCACCCTTTTAATTTCATGGTTTGCCACTTTTGCCATTTTTCAATTATTGTATTTTAAAACTGTTTCATTTCTTGGACTTTTCAATTTTCCCATTTTAAATTTTTCAATTTTTAATTTTTACAGCATACAATTCTTGGAATTTTCACTTTTAGATTTTTCAGTTTTTTATTTTCCAAATTTTGTATGTTTCAATCTTTATATTTTGCACTTTTTGGATTTGCAATTTCACGAGCTTTCAATTTTTGAGTTTTTCGTTTTGTAATTTTTCTTTCTGGTAATTTTTTATTTTTTCAATTTTTGGGTTTTTCAGTGTTTTGAATTTAAAATTTTTCTTTTTTCAATGTGAAGCTTTTCAATTTGTGGATTTTCAAATTTTTCGATTTACAATTTTTGGATTTTTCAACGTAGAGATTCTTTTAATTTTTCGTGTTTTCAACTTTGGATTTTTCAGTATAATGGTTTTTCAATTTTTTTATTCTTCAATTTTTATTTTGCAATTTTTCTAGTTTTCATTTTAGTTATAATTTTTAATTATAAAACTTTAATTTTTCAATTTTTCGATTTTCAGATTTTCGTTAAGATTTTTACTTTCTTTGTTTTTTCATTTTTCCGTTTTTTCAATTTTACGGCATGCAACTTTTCGAATTTTTATTTTTAGATATTTCTGTGTTTAAAGTTTCCAAATTTTGGCGGTTTCAATTTTAGATTTTGCAAATGTTCGATTTGCAATTTCACGAGTTTTCAATTTGTAATTTTTCAATTTTTCAATTTGCAATTTTTCATTTCGGGTTTTTATTTTCTTAACTTTTTTCAATTCTTGGGTTTTTCAATTTTGTGATTACATGATTTTTCTTCTTTTCAATGTAAAATTTTTTAGTTATTGGATTTTTCAGTTTTTCAATTTACAGTCTTCCCGTTTTCAAAAATTCGATTTTTCAACTTCATTTTTCTTTTTTTCAGTTTTAAATTCTTCAGTTTTTCGATTTTTCATTTTTTTTATGCTGTCAGTTTTGCGATTTACAATTTTTTGGTTTTTCAATGTTCTGATTTTATAATTTTTCTTTTTTCAATGCGGAATTTTCAATTTTTGGATTTTCCAATTTTTCGATTTGCAATTTTTCGCATTTGAAATTTCCGATTTTTCAATTTATAGATTGTTAATTTTTCGTTTTTTCAATTATAGATTTTTCAGTTTCATGGTTTTTCTATTTTTCCTTTCTTAAATTTTTGTTTTACAATAATTGTTCACGTTTTCATTTAAAATTTAAATTTTAATTTTCAACTTTACGATTCTGGAATTTTTCAGTTTTTTATTTTTAGGTTATTCAATTTTACGACATACAATTCTTCGAATTTTCATTTTTAGATTTCTCATTGTTTCTATTTTCCAAATTTTGTATGTTTTTTGCAGTTTCAGGAGTTTTCAATTTTTCGATTTTTTAATTTTTCAATTTTTGAATTTTTCTTTTTGAAATGTTTGCTTTGAGTGTTTTATTTTTTTATTTTCTCAATTCTTGGGTTTTTCAGCGTTTTGGTTTTATAATTTTTCTTTTTTTCAATTCGGATTTTCAAATTTTTCGATTCGCAATTTTTGGATTTGTCAACTTACAGATTTTTTTTATTTTTCGTGTTTTCAATTTTTTTAATTTTATGATTTTAGATTTTTTTAATCTTCGACTATTTAATTTTTCACTTTTTCGATTTTCAATTTTTCGTTTCGATTTTTTACTTCCTTAGTTTTGTCATTTTTCGGTTTTTCAATTTTTCGGTTTGCAATTTTCAGTTTCTCATTTTTTTTTTTTGTTATTCAATTTTACGGCATGCAACTTTTCGAGTTTTTATTTTTAGATTTTTCTGTTTTTAAATTTTCCAAATTTTGGCGGTTTCAATTTTCGATTTTTCAATTTTTCGATTTGCAATTTCACGAGTTCTCAATTTGTAGTTTTTCAATTTGTCGATTTTTCTATTTGCAATTTTTCATTTTGGTTTTTTATTTTCTTAATTTTTTCAATTCTCGAGTTTTTCAATGCTCTGATGACATAATTTTTCTTCTTTTCAATGTAAAATTTTTTAGTTATTGGATTTTTCTAGTTTTCAATTTGTAATTTTACTGTTTTCAAACTCTCGATTTTTCAACTTCATTTCTGTTTTTTTTAATTTTAAATTCTTCAGTTTTTCGATTTTTCAATTTTTCATGCCGTCAATCCTGTGATTTGCAATTTTTCGGTTTTTCAATGTTCTGATTTTATAATTTTTCTTTTTTCTATGCGGAATTTTCAATTTTTGGATTGTTCAATTTTTTCATTTACAACTTTTCCGTTTTCAGTTTTCCGATTTTTCAACTTAAAGATTTTTCGTTTTTTTAATTTTAGATTTTTCAGGTTCATGACTTTTCAATTTTTATGCTGCAATTTTTCTAGTTTTCATTTTAAATATAATTTTTAATTATAATTTAAAAAAATCCACCCTTTTAATTTCATGGTT